ACCGACATTATCTCCGACGAATTCGCAGATATGCAGAGCCGCGGGACATTCTATTTTTAATTTTAGACGCGGGATGTGAGCTTTCAAATTATGAATGGTCCAAGCATCACTTTCTTTCTTCAAATGACCTGTATACTGTCCTAATCTCATACCACGTGTCTTTACATATGTTAGTGGAGCAATACTGCAAATTCGTTTAATTTGCGTAGTGGATCGAGGTATATATATATATATATATATATATATATATATTATATATATATATATTATATATATATATATATATAAATAAGGGAAAGAAGTGTATACCTAAGGGCTCGTTTTTCCGTGTTTTTAACACAATAATAATGAGATATAACAGACAGTAATGCCAAGGAATGTACAGGGGAAGTTATTAACATTAATGGAATGTAAATAAGAAGAAAGAAAAGTGGATGAAAAAATTACCAACTGTAAGCAGGAATCGAACCTACGACCTTCGAATTACGCGTTCGATGCTCTAACCACTGAGCTATTACAGCGGCCCTCTCTCCATCCACTTTTTTGGGTTTATCTGTGAATTTAGAAGTAGGAGCGACAGTCAGCGCCATCTATAAGCCAAACAACGAGTGTGAACACACTCTTATGCGCATGTTTGGCGTCACGTAGCACGTGAACTTATTATGAGCGGGCAGCTGATTAATTGTCCCTCTTATACAACCTAAACACACCAAGTCTGCCAGTACGAGACCCTCGTTCAATGAAATAAGGGAAAGAAGTGTATACCTAAGGGCTCGTTTTTCCGTGTTTTTAACACAATAATAATGAGATATAACAGACAGTAATGCCAAGGAATGTACAGGGGAAGTTATTAACATTAATGGAATGTAAATAAGAAGAAAGAAAAGTGGATGAAAAAATTACCAACTGTAAGCAGGAATCGAACCTACGACCTTCGAATTACGCGTTCGATGCTCTAACCACTGAGCTATTACAGCGGCCCTCTCTCCATCCACTTTTTTGGGTTTATCTGTGAATTTAGAAGTAGGAGCGACAGTCAGCGCCATCTATAAGCCAAACAACGAGTGTGAACACACTCTTATGCGCATGTTTGGCGTCACGTAGCACGTGAACTTATTATGAGCGGGCAGCTGATTAATTGTCCCTCTTATACAACCTAAACACACCAAGTCTGCCAGTACGAGACCCTCGTTCAATGAAATAAGGGAAAGAAGTGTATACCTAAGGGCTCGTTTTTCCGTGTTTTTAACACAATAATAATGAGATATAACAGACAGTAATGCCAAGGAATGTACAGGGGAAGTTATTAACATTAATGGAATGTAAATAAGAAGAAAGAAAAGTGGATGAAAAAATTACCAACTGTAAGCAGGAATCGAACCTACGACCTTCGAATTACGCGTTCGATGCTCTAACCACTGAGCTATTACAGCGGCCCTCTCTCCATCCACTTTTTTGGGTTTATCTGTGAATTTAGAAGTAGGAGCGACAGTCAGCGCCATCTATAAGCCAAACAACGAGTGTGAACACACTCTTATGCGCATGTTTGGCGTCACGTAGCACGTGAACTTATTATGAGCGGGCAGCTGATTAATTGTCCCTCTTATACAACCTAAACACACCAAGTCTGCCAGTACGAGACCCTCGTTCAATGAAATAAGGGAAAGAAGTGTATACCTAAGGGCTCGTTTTTCCGTGTTTTTAACACAATAATAATGAGATATAACAGACAGTAATGCCAAGGAATGTACAGGGGAAGTTATTAACATTAATGGAATGTAAATAAGAAGAAAGAAAAGTGGATGAAAAAATTACCAACTGTAAGCAGGAATCGAACCTACGACCTTCGAATTACGCGTTCGATGCTCTAACCACTGAGCTATTACAGCGGCCCTCTCTCCATCCACTTTTTTGGGTTTATCTGTGAATTTAGAAGTAGGAGCGACAGTCAGCGCCATCTATAAGCCAAACAACGAGTGTGAACACACTCTTATGCGCATGTTTGGCGTCACGTAGCACGTGAACTTATTATGAGCGGGCAGCTGATTAATTGTCCCTCTTATACAACCTAAACACACCAAGTCTGCCAGTACGAGACCCTCGTTCAATGAAATAAGGGAAAGAAGTGTATACCTAAGGGCTCGTTTTTCCGTGTTTTTAACACAATAATAATGAGATATAACAGACAGTAATGCCAAGGAATGTACAGGGGAAGTTATTAACATTAATGGAATGTAAATAAGAAGAAAGAAAAGTGGATGAAAAAATTACCAACTGTAAGCAGGAATCGAACCTACGACCTTCGAATTACGCGTTCGATGCTCTAACCACTGAGCTATTACAGCGGCCCTCTCTCCATCCACTTTTTTGGGTTTATCTGTGAATTTAGAAGTAGGAGCGACAGTCAGCGCCATCTATAAGCCAAACAACGAGTGTGAACACACTCTTATGCGCATGTTTGGCGTCACGTAGCACGTGAACTTATTATGAGCGGGCAGCTGATTAATTGTCCCTCTTATACAACCTAAACACACCAAGTCTGCCAGTACGAGACCCTCGTTCAATGAAATAAGGGAAAGAAGTGTATACCTAAGGGCTCGTTTTTCCGTGTTTTTAACACAATAATAATGAGATATAACAGACAGTAATGCCAAGGAATGTACAGGGGAAGTTATTAACATTAATGGAATGTAAATAAGAAGAAAGAAAAGTGGATGAAAAAATTACCAACTGTAAGCAGGAATCGAACCTACGACCTTCGAATTACGCGTTCGATGCTCTAACCACTGAGCTATTACAGCGGCCCTCTCCTCCATCCACTTTTTTGGGTTTATCTGTGAATTTAGAAGTAGGAGCGACAGTCAGCGCCATCTATAAGCCAAACAACGAGTGTGAACACACTCTTATGCGCATGTTTGGCGTCACGTAGCACGTGAACTTATTATGAGCGGGCAGCTGATTAATTGTCCCTCTTATACAACCTAAACACACCAAGTCTGCCAGTACGAGACCCTCGTTCAATGAAATAAGGGAAAGAAGTGTATACCTAAGGGCTCGTTTTTCCGTGTTTTTAACACAATAATAATGAGATATAACAGACAGTAATGCCAAGGAATGTACAGGGGAAGTTATTAACATTAATGGAATGTAAATAAGAAGAAAGAAAAGTGGATGAAAAAATTACCAACTGTAAGCAGGAATCGAACCTACGACCTTCGAATTACGCGTTCGATGCTCTAACCACTGAGCTATTACAGCGGCCCTCTCTCCATCCACTTTTTTGGGTTTATCTGTGAATTTAGAAGTAGGAGCGACAGTCAGCGCCATCTATAAGCCAAACAACGAGTGTGAACACACTCTTATGCGCATGTTTGGCGTCACGTAGCACGTGAACTTATTATGAGCGGGCAGCTGATTAATTGTCCCTCTTATACAACCTAAACACACCAAGTCTGCCAGTACGAGACCCTCGTTCAATGAAATAAGGGAAAGAAGTGTATACCTAAGGGCTCGTTTTTCCGTGTTTTTAACACAATAATAATGAGATATAACAGACAGTAATGCCAAGGAATGTACAGGGGAAGTTATTAACATTAATGGAATGTAAATAAGAAGAAAGAAAAGTGGATGAAAAAATTACCAACTGTAAGCAGGAATCGAACCTACGACCTTCGAATTACGCGTTCGATGCTCTAACCACTGAGCTATTACAGCGGCCCTCTCTCCATCCACTTTTTTGGGTTTATCTGTGAATTTAGAAGTAGGAGCGACAGTCAGCGCCATCTATAAGCCAAACAACGAGTGTGAACACACTCTTATGCGCATGTTTGGCGTCACGTAGCACGTGAACTTATTATGAGCGGGCAGCTGATTAATTGTCCCTCTTATACAACCTAAACACACCAAGTCTGCCAGTACGAGACCCTCGTTCAATGAAATAAGGGAAAGAAGTGTATACCTAAGGGCTCGTTTTTCCGTGTTTTTAACACAATAATAATGAGATATAACAGACAGTAATGCCAAGGAATGTACAGGGGAAGTTATTAACATTAATGGAATGTAAATAAGAAGAAAGAAAAGTGGATGAAAAAATTACCAACTGTAAGCAGGAATCGAACCTACGACCTTCGAATTACGCGTTCGATGCTCTAACCACTGAGCTATTACAGCGGCCCTCTCTCCATCCACTTTTTTGGGTTTATCTGTGAATTTAGAAGTAGGAGCAATATATATATATATATATATATATATATATATATAAATGAGATTTAACAGACAATAATGCCAAGGAAGGGGTATATAGGGGAAGTTATTAGACCAATTGTAATGTAAATGAGAAGAAAGAAAAGTGGGTGAAAAGATAACTCTCCGTGGGCAGGATCCGAACCTGCGACCTTCGAATAACACGTTTGATGCTTTACCACTGAGCTACCACGACAGCTATCCCCCCAGCCACTTTATTGGGTATCTATGTCAATTTAAACGTGCATGTGTCCGTCAGCGCCACTAGTAGCCATGGCGGCGAGTGTGACACACTCTTTATGAGCCTGTTTGGCGTCACGTAGCATGTGAACTTATTACTAACTGGCAGCTGACCAATAGTCAGTTCCTCGTATACAACCTGAAGGCGCCAAGTCTGCCCGTACGAGACCCTCGTTTCCCTAATATATATATATATATATATATATATATATATATATATATATATATATATATATATATATATATATATATATATATATATATATATATATATATATATATATATATATAACTCGACGCACATTCCTCTAGAAATCACGCTGTTCTATCATCGTATGGCTTCGGCATGCTTAATGTGCATGCTCTGTAAGCAGCTCGTGACCAGGAGGCCCAGCTGCGATGCTTCCACGGGCTCTGTATCTACGAGGCCCCTGCGCCCTAAGGCCGTATCCTCCCTTGGTGCACACCTTACGTGCGCGTCACGCGCGCTCTGCAAGCGCGAGAGCAGCGTTGCGTACCGGCGCCATCGGTCTTTGCGCGGATGACGTCGCTGGGCTCGCTGCGGCCGAGCGAGTTGTGTGCCGTCATGTAGAACTGGTACGTGGTGCCGCACTCGAGATCTCGCACCGTGTACACCGGCTGCATCGTCGAGATGGGCGTCTCCTGCCAGTGGTCGGCCTCCTTGCGCTGGTGGAGCACATACTCTGCGCACAAAGAATTCAGGAGGAAAACCACGTGAGACGCGCGTGGTTGATTGATTGATCGGAAAGGTTGGATTGCTATATTGTACGTGCGCAGTCTCTCTTCAACGAGAGACTGCTGGCTGATGAAAGAATAATAACGTGAAAACACGTTACGGTGAAGAGGCCGTTGCTCCAATGGAAGTGGTGCGTGTGAATGAATGATAAAGCGAGATTATACTTTCCAGTTGACTGAATTTTAATTGAAGGTCAGAAACGGTCAATATTATAGGTACACGAATAGTTTCTCTCGCTGGTTTTTATTTTATCTTGCTGTTGATTAAGGCGTCATTGTAAGTGAATAGTGAGCCAGACTGTCAGGGAAGCGTGCAAGAACGAAAGAACTGTAACAGAATCGTTGCGTTATTCTACCGCATTTTTTACTTGAAGGTTGAAATAGTGACATGAATAGCTAATGCCAAATCGCAATATGATATGATAGCATGACACAACAGTGTTGGCATTTATATCTGATAAAATCCTGCACTTGAGCTTTTTGATATTCAACCCATTTTACTGCTCCGAGAAATGTCATTTAAGATGTGCAGCATGCTAGCGTTTTGTCTATTTCCTGCACTGAGAAAACACAGTCGAATTGCCTGATCTTCTTCACTCTCTGTGACCCCAGTTGGGACTGTTGCTTCAAGCAAGCGTAGTTACCTACGGGGGAAATATTTTTTACTTTTAACCTGAATTTCTTGCCTCGAATGCATCATCTTACTAAAGCTCAACGAACGGGTGCTTCATGTTGAGTATCTGAGACGCACAGCTGGTTTAAAAAGTGGCGTTTTCTATGTACGTCAGCTTTTTTATCCCCAGGGCACGTAAAAAAAGTTTCGGTACTTTATTTTTACTCAGTATGTGCCAGGCACTGCTGAAGGGTCTCCGATGACGCAGCAATCAATACATACACTGAATCTGTCCTAAGTTGTCGTTAACAGCTGTCTAAATTAATTATGTAGATTGTAATAAGTTAATTGGTAAAAATAAATGTATTTCACCAGTTCCTTTACATTCTCCATCATAATTTTCTTGTATGATCTACAGCAAAGTAAAACAAAAAAAACTTTTAAATTGACGAGGAATCATTTTATTGGATCCGAGGAGAATATAGAAGTGTGGCCGTGGCTGCTGCGGTCATAAGGAACACCCTAAATAGTGAATTACGAAAAAGCCTTGACGTCCTTGACGAAGATACGTGCGCTTGTTGAAACGTTGGCTCCACCAAAATTATGAGAATGAGCGCCTCAAATAGCCGTAAACCAGCTTCTATATTGACAGTCATGCCCATGCATTCACAATTCAAATCCGAGTTGCATTGTTAAGTGACATTTAAGTGGTGCTGGATTGCCCTCAGGAAAGCGCAAGAATGAGCCTTCGTTTTGGCACCAATGAGACCTTTCTCATACCGCCCCCCCCTTCCCTCTAGCCGCACACCCATTACCATTATTGCGTAGAAATAATCTTTCCATTTTATGTTTAACCCTCCCATAGTGCTGCCAATCTAAAGATATTTCGTGCGTGCGTGTATGTGTGTGAAAAGTTTAAGAATACATGATACATTGAATACACTTCTCTTCTACTTACAAACACAGAAAAGAGACCGCGCTTGTGAGAGACCACACTTAACGGTCAGTAGCCGAAATAAAAGATGTAAGATACTTAAGCTGCCCATTGCATGAGAAGAAGCGCAGGATAAAAGAGAGAGGCTATAAATGGGGTCTTTGTTTTGAAGTAAACGATCCAAGGATCTCGGCTTTCAGGTGCCTGTAAATGCCAAAGCGCTTATAGTACTGTTATTTGCAGGGCTGGGTAGAATCTCACACTATATAGCTACATTCTTAACGTATACGATGCGTTTATGATCTGGAACATATACAGCCAGCATTGCACCACTGTCGACAACGCAGAATGCCTCATCCTGCTAGAAGACACCCAAATAAAATGAAAAAGAAACGCAATAACGACAGACACCCTGCTGCCGACTCCCTTTGCAGCAGCGTGCGACGTCCTGTTCGTGCATCGTTGTAGCAGAAGCCCAGCATGGCTTTCCCGGACATTACCTGTGACGGGGTTCCCGAACGACGTCTTCAGCGACCAGCCCAACGTGACCGAGCTCGTAGACACTGAGACCACTTCGAGGGTGGGAGGGCTCGGTGGGACTGCAAAGTGGTTAAGTGAATCCGAGCGTCAAATGCGGCATTATGCATCACGCCAAAATAATCAGTTCAATACAATTAAATTTTTTATTTGCAGGCGTGAATAAAGAAATACAGAAATGGACACAGTGATGGCAATTCAGCAGAAACGCGTAATATTAGCAAATACCATGTTGCCTTCTTTTGTCGTGGAGGGCAAGTGTTTTTTTTTGTTTAGCTGTACTTTTTACCTTTGAAACGTTATTTAATGGAGCTAGTTGAACCATAGTTAGTTGTCCCATAGCACTTCGAGCACAGAAACTTAAAGGACGAGAGAGAAATGGACTTAAAACTGATTATTATTTCCGTGTACATGGCAACATAAGTAAGCAAACATGCACACACACCAATAGATACATATAATTGATTTACACATCGTCTCATTTCAATGAAATATATAGAAGCTTCCAGAGAGACACAACATTTATTTAAAAAAAAAAACACATTCGTTTGTGTCTGTGCGTGTTTGGCTGTTGATTTTGCTGCGTGCTATTTCCCGCGATCTCTGATCCACGTGCCTAAAGATCAAATGCGTGTTGTAAAACAAAGACTTACAACCACACGAGCGGCAATAAATTGACAAACGCAAAGTAGTGCCCTTTAATTTATTGTTGTGCTGACGTAGCCTCTCGCAAAAGATTTAATGGAAATACTGGTGACTGCCTTAACTTAGAGGCTATGCCAGCACAACTGATTAAATGTTAGACATGCTTCACATTTGTCATCTCTGTTTTGATTGATATGTGGGATTTAACGTCCCAAAACCTCCATATGATTATGAGAGATGCCGTAGTGGAGGGCTCCGGAAATTTCGACCACCTGGGGTTCTTTAACGTGCACCCAAATCTGAGCACACGGGCCTACAACATTTCCGCCTCCATCGGAAAAGCAGCCGCCGCAGCCGGGATTTGATCCCGCGACCTGCGGGTCAGCAGCCGAGTACCTTAGCCACTAGACCACCGCGGCGGGGCTTCATCTCTGTTTCGCTCATGATGTTGGAAACCTTTGTTTCATAGCATGCATGTCATCTTTAGTCTCGTGGATCAAAGATCCCGTGAACACAAGAAGCTTTTCACATTAAAAAATCACGTTCTTTGCATTTACGCTCCATTCGTATATCTCCACAATTGTGAGTTCAGCCTCCTTGAAAAATGGGACAAATACCTGTAATGTGACATTGCGTGCGCAGTGGGATTGCTTAAATCCGATGGTTGTTAGTTCAGTGCCTGTGCTGTGTCGTCATTATTCTTGTTTCGACATCATTTGTCGCTGTTTTACAGTGAAAGCTGCTATTAGATCACAACAACAGGCATTATTGGGGCCGTTGTTGTCTGCCACCTCTACCGGTGTTTTAGGGGCGAAGCTCCTTAGGGCGTGGGCTGTGCGTCCCCTGTAGCCTGTATGTAGCCACCTCTAGTTTAGTTCTTGCAGTGTTCACTAGATGGCGGTACCGTCCCCTGTATGTAGCCACCTCTAGTTTAGTTCTTGCAGTGTCCACTAGATGGCGGTACCGTCTCCTGTAGGTAGCCACCTCTCGTTTAGTTCTTGTAGTGTTTACTAGATGGTGGTACTTGTAGCTGATGATGAAAAGATGCAAGATGTTATAAACTAGAAAGCGGTACTTGTAGTTGATGAAAGACGCGAGATCTTATAAAATAGGAATGATGTCACATATGGCGCGTGTCATTGGTTGAAGGCAATCGTTCGATTTAGTGCGGCGACGTACGCTAAGGGGAGCGTTGTAATATAATCCGTTCGCTGTTGGCGCGCGCTCGGAGTCGCCGGATGGGTAAGGCTGCACAGCGGAGAGAGCGCAAGGCGGCAGCAGCGCGCGCTCGCAGACAGAATCCCGATGTGCGAGCGCGCGAGGCAGAAGCGCTCAGTGAAGCTGCGCGACGCCGCCGCCAAGATCCTGCCGTACGTGAAAAAGAGGCTGCAGCGGCGCGACGCCGCCACCAAGATCCTGCCGTACGTGAAAGAGAGGCTGCAGCGGCATACTGACCGCAGTCGACGTGCTGTGCTTTACCGAGACGTGGAACGTGACGAGATTGTTCATCAAAGGATACGTTCCCGTCGTGTGTACCGATGAATCAGAACGTCCTACAGGTGGTGTCGCCACCTCGCACCCAACCTGTCGACCGGGAACATCAAGACATTCATAGACACTGCGTTACGAAATTATGAGAACAAATACAAGAATGGACCATTTGTACTACTTGGAGACTTTAACGTGGCTATCATAGACAATAATTGGGTTATCCAACATATGGCTTCTAGACATGCACTCAGACGTATATCGTTTGACCATATGAAACCTACCATGATCCGAGGAACATGCATAGACCTAGTATTTGCAAATTGCCCACTGCAACCCATACAGGAACCGCTCTCCCTTCATTTCACAGACCATAAAGCCGTCATAATGAAGGGACATCGCAAGCTATCCATCGTCTAAGAACAAATAAAAGTTGATTTGTGTATATACACACACAGCGTTTCTCACGTCTTTACATGATGATCGACTGGGCGAATTACACGGAAGATTCACAGTTTACCGATGAATCCCTCCGGAGCTTCGCCCATTCATCATCATGCACCCCGTGAATATGCCGTAATTTTTTTTAACCATGTGCGGTATCGCTCGAAAAAAAAAAAAGAAATTCTGGACAGAATAGGCTCCACTATAGGGTCCTCTGTGTGATATTTCAGTACTCTACCACAGAGTACGCCAGTTGTTTTCACTCGCTTGCAATTACCCCTTACGCAGGTTATCATGTCGGCGGGGAGCTCTGAGCTGAATATATTTCTTGAGTGAGCCTAAGCGAGCTCCATTTTTTTTGCTGCGATATGTTCCTACTACACAAACGCTATTATAATTTATGACATGGTGGACACTTAGTAATTGTACTTGTATTATTTGCCGAGAAATCACGCTAAAATATGTAAGACAGCGTGGTAGGAGAGTAAAATAACGGCCGGTCGCCACGTAATGTGAATTGTGTAACCGTTCAACGCTTTCGACTCATTATATGGGTTCTGCCATAATTTTTATCGTCAAAAGCCTCCGCATCAGCAAGGTGCACATGCTGTCTAAGAGATGTGTAAGAAAAGCTCGCATCTCCATAGAATACATCATCATCATCATCATCGTCATCATCATCGTGACTACGCTCACTGCGCAGGACAAAGGCCTCTCTCATGTTCCGCCAGTCAACTCAGTCCTGTGCTTGCTGCTGCCGCATTATGCCCGCAAACTTCCTTATCGCCCCCTCCGCCTAACTTTTTGTATCCCCTTCACCCGCTTGCCTTCTCTGGGAATCCAATCAATTACCCTTAATGACCATACCGGTTATTTTGCCTACGTGCTACGTGCCTGGCCCGTGTCCATTTCTTCTTCTTAATTTCGACTATAATACCTTAACCTCAGTTTGTTCTCTGACCCACAGAGTGAAATAAAAAATAATGGCACCTTACTTTACAAAAACTATGATTATTTATGGCGTAGTGGGTGCTATGCAAGTGTACTTGTAGTAGTTACCCCAAGAGTGTGTAATAATTGTTGAAGTTTAACGTCCCAAAACCACGACATGATTCTGAGAGACGCTGTAGTAGAGAACTCCGGAAATGTTGACCACCTGGTGTTTTTTGACCTTCCCATATATATCCAGGCACACGAGTCTCAAGCATTTTGACGCATTAAAAAAAAAGGAATCCTCAAGCTTCGCTTTTAAGAGTTGAACGCAATATTTATATCCTGTCCTGAATGCGTACTTCAAATATTTAGTCCATGAAATGTTTTCGAACTTGCCACGCGGTCACTACGGGGCCTTAAGAGAATAGGAATAGGCGCACTAACGTGTGTGCGCTTTGCAGTGGGTGACCAGCTTTAAACTATGAAACCATTATGACAATCACATGTTCTGTCACACGATGGCATTTTATGCCTGTACCACACATTATTACTGAAATATTTTATGCTGTATTGTGATGCAAACTACAAGATGCGTGTGTCTGCAAAGCGTATAAGTTACTTTCCCTTCGAAGCAGAGGAAGTTATTTTCACTGCATTCGCAAGCAGAAGCGAGGCTGTGTGGTAGAAAACTCGCCTCCCCCGCAAGCGACCCGGGTTCGATCCCCCTTGGACCCAGAATTTCTTTATTTATTTGAATCTTTCTCAATTTTCGGGTCACGCACAAGATGAATTTTCGCTTACAACCAACGACACCGACGGCGTAATTTCTGCAGAACGAGCTATCGCGTTAATACGGCAGCTGCAGCCGGGAACCAGTACCGCAACCTGCGGGTGAGCAGTCTATTACCGTACCTACCAGGTAATGGTGTCGGGTTGAAACAGACTAGGCTGCTCCTCATACTGTCACTGCGTTGCACATTAGCGCAAGCCTGGCGTTAACTATTAGGTTATAGAAAAAAAAATGGTTCCGAGTAGCCGTCCTATACCCCAGAATCTAAAGGTAATGAATGAGGGGTTATTGCAATTAACCAAATATTAACGCATAGATTGTCGTGCCTGTACATCTACGCAGCGTTTTGTACATTGCACGAAGACGAGAGTAGTTTAATGAATATTGAATTTGCCTGCCTCTATAGCTAAATGCATCTTTGCCATCGAGCTTTGTTATACACAAGACGCGCACACGCACAGCAAGTTTTCTCGCTCTAGCTAATGATTCTTTCTGCACATTAGATGTTTCGAAAATCGCTGATCACGTTTTAATGTTTACCTATTAGGTTAACAGGGCTCCCACAGGCTGAGTATTTCACATTTTAGACGTCAGTTATCAATTGGCGTTAAATGTTCATGCCCACCTCCCGTCACAATACTTGATTTATTATTCTGCGCCATTACTACTGATTTTGCAGGCTGCTCACGTTAATATTTCGCCAGGAAGGACGTACCTAAGCGAAAATCGAACATTCATCTATGCTTGGGAAATCAATGTATCTGCCTGAGCCCACGATCAACAGGTTTTGTGCTGTATCGTGTACAAGGGCAGTTTGACTGTCGGCAGAATGAGGGGAGAAATATTTGCCTTCAAGTATTAACCCCGCAAAAAAGCCGGATACTTAAGATATCTCAAGCTCTCCTAGGGGAAGACATAAGCTGCACTTAGACGAAACGACAGGAAACAGAGGCTGCGTAATAATGAATGTGGCTCCTGCTTAGTGCTGGGTAAGTTATTAGACATGTATGGCGCATTTAAAGATAAATAAACTATATAGGGACTAAACATACCATCCACACTCAGCACCACATGACAAAACGGTATGTTCTGACTAACTATACACGTAACTGAACAATCAGTTGGATAACGAACGGCTTTATTACAACTAATGTGCGTTTATGCTTAATGACGCGACGATGCGTACGTATACGTCATTTTAGTTATGCATTCACGGCAATGTCTCACACATATTTCGCTCACAATATGCATTTCTACAACAAATTCTTTTTAGGTTATTCAGCGAAAGAGAGCATGGCCCTTCAAATATACACGGGCTTGCAGTGTAACTGGGAACCAGCTGTTCTAGGTGAGCGGCTACGATGTCGCACTGTTGACCCCACGAACGGGCATGGACTTGAGTTCCGGCTTTGTGGCTGGCGGTGGTCTAGTCCGCAATGTCCTCTCTTCGACGACGGCTCTCCGACCGGGGACCCATCCCCGGACTTCTCTAATCTCTTACTTGTCTCTCAATCTTTACTTCTCTGTCTCTTAATCCCTCCTTATCTTTTCCCTAGTGAACTATACGCCTGTGGTGGCGCACTTCAATGCAGACAATGACGGGGTTCACTTTGCTTTTCAGTTTTTCTCATCTAAGAATCACCCCCAACCTCTCCTTAATTACATGATGACTTCAATTTCATGGGAAAGATGTTCAAGAATATTCGTGTACTATATATATACATCTGAGTGCCCGGTAAATTAATCCAGAGCCATTCGCTACGTAGGTAGACAGAAACACTTTCACGCTCCGGGCAGCCCATGAAGTCTACTCGCGATTGGAAAGAACTACCGACTTAAGGTACTTCAACAATCGTTGCCTCCTGCGCCGTCGAGGAACATGATCATGACAGAAGAATAATGGCTACAGAAAATGGTCTCGAGTACATTTCTTGTCTTTCCTTCCTTCTTCATATCACTCCTATTGCGTTTCTCACATTCATATAGGGTTTCAGGGCACATATAGGGTTTCAGGGCATCTAGTAGTCTAAATTGTTTGTGGGTGTCATATAGGAACAAACGGCTTGTTGAAGTCCTTTACAGAAGCAACTGACCTGGTTGTCTCGAGTCTATTTTCGAGCTTTTCGTAGGTTCTAAATGAAATTCGAATAAAATATGTGGGTTGACTACTGAGTTTGTTAATTGACCAGTACACGCGAAATTTCTAAAATTAACACACAGCTTCGGCATAACGATCCGCTCTTTGATACATGGGGAAACATGATCGAGCAGCACAAGCACAGCAGTCACGTGAGCCTTACTCACCATCGTCGAGGGTCTTCACGAGCACCTCGCGTGACATGGGGCCGGTGCCCTTGCCAGTAAAGGCCTGGATGGCCACACTGTAGGACATAGAGAGCCGCAGGTTGGTCAGGTGTATCTCCTGGCGCTGATGCGGGTTGTGCACCTCCACCGTCTTGTGGTAATGCTGCTCGTTCGAGCCGGCCGGCCGGTACGTGATGTAGTAGCCCTTGAGATGGCCGTTCCAGTCCTCCTCTTTAGGCGGCTGCGAACATTGTCACTCGTAAAATGCATCAACACAAAGAACAAATTGAAAATTTTGTTGTACCACGTGACGACCGCAAAGAATGACAAAGTCCTGCGAGAGATGCAAGGTAATGCGCACGTTCGCAGAAAAAAAAAACAATTGTTGGTACTTTTGCGTCACCGACAGCTTGCCTTACAAATGCCAGGCTTTGAAGCACCCAGCGATAGGGCTTCCACCGTGTATATTCAGAAGCCAAAGGTTCAATAAATGCCACCAATTCGCCAGAGCCTCATTGTCATGATATTGATGTTTGTGACAAATTGTCTCCACCGTTGTATTGAAAAAAGAAAGTCACACTGATTTGGTAAGTTTAGACAGGAAATCGGATGATATACCACGGAGAAAACGATGGCGCCTCGTCTTCTTTCTCGAAGACTCTTGCTTACCGTACAGGTTTGGCAATGCAGGTATATATGACAGGTGACTCGAACTAAGAGACAAAGGAGCCAGAAAAAAGTATAGGGTATCCTATTAGTAGTAATTCTAATGTAACTGTGAAGAAAGAAAAGTGGACGAAAATATAACTTGCCGCTGGCAGAGACCAAACCTTCGACCTTCGAATAACGCGTCCGATTCTCGACCAGCTCAGCTACCGCGGCGGTCATCTTTCCGTCCATTTTCCGGGGCATATATGCGCATTGAAACCCGGGAGCGTTAGTCAGCGCCGCTATAGTAGCCATGACGGCGAGTGTGAAACACTCTTCTTTTGCCTGTTGGCGCCACGTAGCTCGTGATATAATTACGCGCTGGCAGCTGCCTGCCGACCAAAAACTTCTCGCTTACTACCTGATGGCCACCGATGTAGCTCAGCTGTAAAGCATCAGACGCGCTATTTGAAGGTCGAAAGTTTGGTTCCTGCCAGCGGCAACTTGTCTTTTCGTGCATTTTTATTTTACAATTACTTCCAATTACACACTCTATACTTCTTTTCTTGCATCATTGTCTGTTGGTTATCATTATTAGTTTGTCTAACAAAGAAAAACGAGTCCTTCGTTTCAACTTCTTTAATTCATAAGGGTCACCCGAAGGCTGTATATTGCTTTTTCGTCCGCTTTAATTAGTTTTTTTATAATGCATCATATTGACTGCACTACACTAAAAAAGTAGACATAATGCACCTATACGCCCCTTGGCTTCAACCTCTGTTAGTTTTTTAGGCAATGTCTAATGAAAAAATGCGGCCTTGATACATTTCCCTTCTTTCCTTTCTTGAGGGGAGGCATGGCCCAGGAATGCCTTGTAGTTAAATAGAAAAACGAGGATAGTAATGGTTAAATTGAAGTTTGCATAACTAATACTGAAACGTCATTAGCTAAACCAGCAAGTCAGAAATGATGCAAGACGAAAAAAGAGTGGACCTTGAAACTATACCTTAGTTGCCATTGGCGTTGTGAATTTAGACAGCGCCTGCTCTGAACAATTACCATTTCATCCACTACGCTGATGAAGTCTGTTAAAATTATTGACATTAATAAAGATTACTGCATTGTATTTTAAAGAACCCAGACGTTTATGCTAACGTTGTTCGAATGCCTCCTTTGCTTTACTAAAACGTCCCAAAGACGTGAACATATGAAATTCGTTACGTGAAGCTGCGCCCACGGACTGAATTCAAGAAGAAAAGAAAATTGGTTATTCTTTCATAGGCTTGTAGCCAACTGCTTCACGCGAAATAAATAAAATGAAGGTCTTAAAAGAATACTTGTTCCCACCCTACTGACTTAATGCTGCTCTTTAACAAATAATAATAATCCCTTAAACACGCATAATCTCAAATTATGAGATCTAAAATTATAATGAAGAACAGTATGCAGAATTTTCAACGAACACGCCGAAAGATAATTGGAATACTTTTGTTTGTTTACCTTACGTCTCCTTGGTCACACCAACTCTTTCTCAATTTATTGCTCACCAGATTGCCGTTATCTTGTATAATGATAACAAAAAATGATCTCTGAAGGTTGACGGCCATACAAAGGACGCCGGCAGAGTTCATTTCACACGTCTCAAGCCAAGATTTTAAACGTTTTGCAGCACGGCCAGTCATATCTCAAATAATGTGAAAACAAAATCATCATCATTAGCAACCTGACTACGCCCACTGCAGGGCAAAGGCCTCTCCCATGTTCTGCCAGTTAACCCGGTCCTGCACTTGCTGCTGCCAATTTATACCCACAAACTTTTTAATCTCATCTGCCCACCTAAGCTTCTGTCTCCCCCTAACTCGCTTGCCTTCTCTGGGAATCCAGTTAGTTACCCTTAATGACCAGCGGTTATCCTGTCTACGCGCTACATGCCCGGCCCATGTCCATTTTCCCTTCTTGATTTCAACTATGATATCCTTAACCCCCGTTTGTTCCCTGGCCTACTCTGCTCTCTTCTTGTCTCTTCAGGTTACCCCTATCATTTTGCTTTCCATCATTCACTGCGTTGTCCTCAATTTAAGCTGAGCTTTTTTGTAAGCCTCCATGTTTCTGCTCCGTAGGTAAATACCGGCATGATGCAGCTGTTATATAACTTCCTCTTGGGAGCTTGTGGTAGGTTACCATTCATTATTTGAATATGCTTGCCGAAAGTCATCCACCCCATCCTTATTCTTCTGTTACTTCACTCTCTTGATTCGTTTCCACGGTTACTACCTGCCCTAAACAGATATATTCCTTTACAATTTCTAGCGTCTCTCCACCTATCGCAAAGTGCTGTTTTCTGTCGAGACTGTTGCACATTACTTTACCTTTGTGCATATTAATTTTCAGACCTACTCTTATGCTTTCCAGTCCAGTTCAGTAATCATGAGCCGCAATTTGCGCCCTGAGTTACTCATCATGGCAATTAATTGATATGTGGGGCTTAACGTCCTAAAACCACCATATGATTATGAGAGACGCCGTAGTGGAGGGCTCCAGAAATTTCGACCACCTGGGGTTGCACACAACTGCACACAAATCTGAACACACGGGCCTGCAGCATTTTCGCCTCCATCGAAAATGCAGCCGCCACAGCCGGGATTCGATCCCGCGACCTGCGGGTTAACAGCCGAGTACCTTATCCACTAGACCACCGCGGCGGGGCGATAACGCATCAGAGATAAGACAAATAAAACTTTGGGTTCTAGCTTTTCTGTGACACGTAATCATCTTTTTAGAGCTTTGTTGTTATTGCGAGACATACAACGTGGTGCCAACATAATGAATATGATGTGAGTGACTTCTTTCAATAAAACGCTACAAAACTGTCTTCTGGGAACGTGGGGACAGGGGGGTGGTACTTGTCAGCGGCATTCAGACGAAATGCTAAATGCATCGGAAGCGCTTTCAATAAGGATCGAATAAAGTACGCCATTCGATAAAGTCACTTTCCATAGAAAGGAAAGCTGACGTCGTTCAAAGTTTTCATCCGCCGCCTTTTTTAAAGTCCTTCGTAAACGCAGGGCTGAAGACAATAGTGCGCACAGTGAGTATACAAACTGCGGAAGGGAGTAGAGCGCGAGGCAAAAAGGACTAACAAACCAGTGCGGTATGAGAAGTCATGAACACGTCCGAGCGTTCAATAAATCGATAGCCGAGTGGTGGCTGGCTCGAAGCGAGGCTTGTTTCGTGGGAAGAGCGTGAGCACTCTGCTTTCGGGCACCGCGGATAACTCACAATGCACAACACAGACGCGGTGGCGTCGAGAGCACGCCACTGTAATGACAGTGCGCCGAGCCCCGACACGTGCCCAGAGGGCTCCTCCCTCCCGTCCACCGCGAAACGTGGCAAACAAAGGGTCCGCACGTTTTAACTCGGCATTAAACAAATGTTGCTACGACGCTGTCCTGACAGCGTGCAACGCGGCACGCCCCCTGTCTTAGCAGCCTCTTCGTTTTGCCCGCTTCCTCTTCACCATGGCAAGAACCATGCCGTAGAAGAAAATCAGCAGTTGCCGAGGGCTTTGTATGCTGAACGCTCAATACATCGAACGTTGGTTATTAAACCTGATCATTTCTGTTTCACTGGGGAGTACTGTCCGAGTGGTCGTACCCGCATGAGGATGTAAACATTTGGCCAACGTGGTAAACCCTTCGAAAATGAAGCCGCATTCACGTAAGATGCTATGATGTTGAGGCATTACATATGTGGCGTCGCACAAAAGGTAGTGCACGTATTGTCTGTTGTTAAGCATATTGGGAGGCATGGCTTTATTCGAGTCGAGCTCGGGCTCACATACGTTCACGGTGATATCTGATGAGGAAGTTGTGTCTAGATGACAAAGAAGAGCCAGCAACTGCGCTCACAATATTTATTTTTCTGGCGAGTTTAAGAAACCCTGCGCCTCCCATACATTCAATCTCAAGTAGGCACAGGAAAAAAAAAAAAACTAGACGACATGGATCAAAATTGCATAGTAGTTTACCAGGCGGTTGTGAAATATACATTAAAACAGGACGAACTATAATGTCAATAAGCACTGGGAATCATTCATGAATAATATTTAGAAGTGTGCTATTTCTCACTTACAGAACCCAGTGCATCGTTTTCTAGACGTTTCTATTATTCGCAAATTTCAACGATGCATGATAAAAGCAGTAAATAGATTGAATGTACGAGGCCGACCATCTCTGCCTCAGTGACTGCTTCAGAGTTGTGCTCTGTGGACTGAACTAAAAGAGACACTCTACTTCGTAATATTTTGAGCGTTTTCACATCCTGTAAGTAACTAACACCACCCATCGACCCGCTCGACTGAAATTATCAAGCGTAAAAGTTCGCTATCATTGCCACGCAGTAAATCAGGTGAAGCAATCGCCGGTCAGGTACGACAGGATAACATCACTTGTAGCATCATGGCACCACTGCCACAACTATTTCTACGGCGGGTCTACAAATCAACTCAAAGAGACAAAACTTTTTTTTCGCTGAACCTATAACACCAGCCGACTACACCAAGGAGGATCTGGTTTGAGCCAAAGAATAATTTTT